TCTCGCACATTCCCCCGTTGGACTCTTCTCGGCAAGTACGCAAACAGCGTCCACGACCTCGGGGTTGTCTACACAACATGTGTGTGACCCTCATCTCGAAAGGCTTTTAACTGCAATAAATGGGCACCGGGTTAGAACAACTTGGCAGTCTGTGTTAAGTCTATTGCTGGCGTATCCGTCTCAGATTCGTTTGTGAACTGTCTGTTGAATACGTCAGGCGAAAACACGACAGTAGAACCCAAGAAAACTTTGTCAACTTCCCACGCTCTACCTTCACCCATGCTTTCATGTCCCCCGTGTCCCCCATTGTTAATGCAGCACATGCCTATCCTCGTCATCACGGACATCATGTGTCGTGTAGGTCCGATCGTCCACGACCGCTGCCAGACGGCGGCGCCGAACGAAGGAGTTCTTCCCCGGGTTGGCGAGCCTGACGAGCATGGCATGCGGAAGGTGGACATCCCAGCACTAGCGCCTCTGGGAAATTACTTTCTTGGCGCCGATCAGGTTTCGGAGCCCGTACCGCAGGAGAAATGCACTCAACGCAATGTGTACAATCTCCTGCGCGATGCGCAAACTTCTCCTCCGGTTCAACGGTTGGACTTCGGTCAGCTTCTCAGCGTCTCAGCATGGCAGGACAGAGAAGAAGGGACCACCGCCGTGGACTTCGTGCTGCTTGCTCGGGCCCGTTTGCGGAACCTGCGCCGCCGAAGCCACCACTCCATGGACCTCTTTGAGGTAGTGGCTGTTCTGAACGTGCGCCTCACCAAGCTCGTGGCTTTCATCAGCGAAGGACAAGACAAGGAGGTCCCGCCAGCAGTACTTGTCGAGGAAGAGCAGATGGCCCCGGGCTCGGTGCTGCCGACGTTATCGGCGCAGAGCGTGTTCTCTACACGCGTTCTCGCGGTGGCGACTGGGTCCACCACCGGCAAGGCTCCGGAACTACCTGCCTTCTCTCAGCATCTTTTCGAACCTGTGGCTGGCCAGAATGATCTTCGACCTGCGGCGCTCGATCACCTGGTTTTGACCTACGCCCGGGTGAGTACGTCTCCTTCGCGCAGCTGACGTAGTGGGCTGTTGTGCTTTGTCTTTGGCGGTATTATCAATACTGGTGGTTGTTCGTTGCTCCGTTGGTCAAGTGGGTTTATTTTCGCGTTCCTCATTGAACATCGTTGTCCCTCCTTCTTTTTTTTCTCCCACCTTACGTTCCTTCCGTTTTCCTTCTCGGCGTCGCCGGTTGATTTGATTTCTGCGCGCGGCAAAACCTACCTTGTTTCATGTTTTGTTATTCAATTCGGAGCAGTGAACATAGGTAGATCACTGCTGACATATTGACATATTACTCATGTGTTGCTGCAATTTGAAAAACAATGCTAGAGACGCTAGAGCGGGGAACAAGAACATTTTTCTCGCATGCTGGTAAGGACATGCGCATGCTCTGTGCCCACCGCTAAAACTACCACACCTCTCCCATTCAGCGCATGCACTTCGTTGCATATTAATAGGCTGTAGTGCTCGAATCTCTTGAGTTGCTGCCATGTCAACAAGACTACCCAGCAATGTTTTTTTTTTTCTGATGCTTGTACAGAGTTTCCTGTATAAATGCATTAAAGCAGCCCATTGCGGTAACCCAACTATTTAGACAAATTTTTCGATCACACGGTTTACTTTCCGTCCCCTTCTTCGGGACCTCTGACATCTGGATCAGGCCAAGGAGGAGTTCATCGCGATTGGACTTCAACCTGCCAACCAGTGCGCAAAGAAGAGGGCAGGTACGAGGACGTGGACACTTGCGTGTTAGGTGTTGAGGCTAGTCGTTTTGTTGGTCCAATAATCTAAGGACCACCAATCTACCGGGCTGTGTACGTTTTTCCATAATGTGTCAATGTTGGTGCCGGTATCAGGCCGGTATGGTACATGTCGTTCGTTACCTCCAAGCCGGCCTCAAATGATCAAACCTTAGTCAAAACGTTTTCATGAGCCAACACATGGCATGCCGTTTTTTTGTACGTCATCTCTGTTCGTCCTCACAGAACTGGCTGTGCGCTCAGGAGCATGCTTCGGGTCGGCGGTGCAGCGTACGAAAGCCCTTCAGATTCAGGTGGCTCAACATCAACCGGGGAAAAGCGCTGACACCAATGGCATCGTGGAAGAGTATGGCCTTCCGTTCGACATCCAACCGCTGCAGGAGGACCCCACGGCGACAGTGCGCAGAACGCACCCCTTGGGGAGCAATGCCGGGCCTTACTACGGGCCTGACGCCCTGCACGACTGCAACCACGGGGATGACTGCCGCCAAAAGTACGGTGGGATAGACTCATGCGCCCAGCTCTCGGGGGTCAACCTCAACGCGCACGAGCAGAACCATGCGAAGAAGAAAAAATTTCTGCACATGTTGAATGTCATGAAATTTGACCGCTTTGCGTTCATGGTAACTCTGATCAACGAGACCGAGAATGAGGCAATAAACCGCAAATCGGTGGCAAACATGGTCAAGCGTGTTCGAGGCCATGGCTCGGAACGAGTAGAGATTTGCCAGGCTCAGGTTTGGTTCTGCGGCAGATGCTTCTGCCAGAAGTCTCTAATGCGATCATTCGACCAGTTCGGCCGGGTCCGGCTGACCTTTGTTAAGCCATAGCCATACTTTTGGGGGGGCTCGGATGTTGTTGTACGATGTCTCAGATGCTTTGTGGTACGGTGTCCGCTTGAGCTGAACCGCTTGCGCCATTACGTCATTTCGCCCGGTTCGCAGTGGTGGGTAGAGTTAAATTTTTTTTGTAGTCTTTCGGCTGATGGTGTGTCGAGGCTGGTGGTAGGAGTATTCGGCTCCGCGTTTTGGGGGATAGATACGTTTGGTTTTTCTTGAGGGGAATTCATTGGTTTCGCTACACGATAGGGTTGCTTCAAGAACTATTTCCGAGCCCACCGACGTTCCGTTTGTCAGCCTTTCACACCACTTCCAGTACTATCGACTGCTCGCTGTTTTTTGTGTTTCCAAGAGCGCGATGTATCTTTTGCCTTCGAGCCTTGGCTTGAAAGATGCGTATCCTAGGACAACCAGACCTGTTCCCAAATGTGAAAGTAACGAATTGTCGAAGAGCCGTTTTTGATCCTATATCGAAAACAAGGCAGACCTACCTACCATTGGGTTCAGCTCATTGCGTTCCATCCGGATGAGGGTAGAAATTATTTTGTGTTCTGTCCAAGAAAGTTGTCTGGTGCCCACTTGGCCACTTGCCCACTTGGCCACTTGGCAATAATTTTCAGGTTGCGTTTTGGCATTCAATACCATTTCGTCCTGGACTTGTGGTACGTACATGCCGTTTCGAGATACCGTCATGGTCGGAGAGATGGCACCGGGTGCGATCGTTTTTTTAAATGTTCTTCCTTGAGTTTTTATCGCGCCCCGGTGCCATGTCTCCGACCCCGGTGCGGGAATGCAATTAGATCTTTTTGATTACATTTTCAAGGCACCCCGGTGCGATCTCTCCGACCGGTGCGATCTCCGATGAAATACACACAGGTGTTGTATGAGTGGGAGCATACCGGTAACGGCAACGTAGGCTGGTACGTAACAGCTTTCCATACAGCGAGTGGTGTCGTGTTTGATGCGAGTTTGGCTATAGAGTGACGACAAGAAAGGATGTCGTTTCCATCTGAGGTACTGGTACATACGGCATCAGTTGTCTTCCGCTTTCGTTTCGGTGTTCCTCTACGGATACCAGTACGTACGAAGCAACGTACGAAGCAACAATAGCTTCGTGTTGTGTAAGGTGGGGTAGGATGTGGCTTGTACGTTGTGTGTCTAGTTGAGAGTATACGGTTGGCAACTTCCATACCAATTCAAATATGAAATCAACTGGCATCCCGTGTGAACCGCGACCATGCATACGTACATGCAGGGGTGGCGCTCCGCTGACACCATCCCCACATGTATAAGGAACACACATGTACCTCACTCCGGCAGCTGAAAATGAGCTCAATCTTTGGGTTTGGCGGTCGGTGTGCGATCTCACTGACCCCGGTGCGTAAATGGATGTAAATCGTGCCGTTCTCGTATTTTTTTAGCAACCCCGTGCCTTCTCCCCGACCGGTGCCACCTCTCAGACCGGTCCTATCTCTCCGACTATTACGGTATATATTAAAGCTATGTTGTTTTCTTTCCGCGTTCACCCCTTCTAAACCAAAGCTTAACAAGCAGGCTATCGGCGAGACTATGTCGGCTCCTCTCTCCCCTCCTGCAACTCCCCCTTCAACCAACTTCCCCTTCAACCTACATGAAGTCTACAAGTAAGTATGCTTCAGACAACGTGGCGACGACTCGCTCAAACCTGGTGTATAATATCTCCTCAATATACCCTGCGAAAAAACTTTGGGTTTTTCTCGATAGTTTGACATGGGAAGGTGTTGAATCTAGTATCTGCCATTTGCAACCTACATGGGAGCAGATCATCTGCGATGTGTGCCTGTAAATGCAGCAGCCTACCCGCCTGGACCGATTTCCAAACATCAATTACTCCACGAAGAGAATGCGTGCATGAAACGACTGTTTCAGAAGGCTCTTGACAGAGCGGCTTCAACGCCGCCGTTTCCGGCGCTGCCACGCTTCTGCTGTGAAAGAATGGAGCTTGGAAAATCGGTCGAGGGGGTGTGATATCTTGTGTCATACCTTGTTTAGGTGTAGCCTGAGCCGGAAATGGGTAGGCTTTCGACGCCTTATAGGGTGGCTGTGGGGGATTGGGGGAAACATGCTTCTTCAGACGTCGTATGGGTTGTTGTGCAGTGTTGTGCCTGGTTGGACGTTGGCAAGCTATCAATCTGGAAGCAGATGGCAGCGGCAGATCTGGATGCTGATGCGCCTACCTCTAGCGTTGCGGGGCAATCGGTTGTTTCTTTCGTGTACAGCCAGCGCAGAAAGCGGTTCCGGTCATCTCGAAGCTGTGCAAAGGCCTAGACCTACAGCACCTAGACTCAGCTAGATATTCCACTCGCTCTTCGTACAGCAGCAGTACACGCCCTACCGAACGGCCGGCAGCCCGGTAGCGCGAGTACCTACGGTACTTCAAGCAGACCACCAACATCTACTAGAGAGGAGCAAGAAGGGTGGGGGGGGCATAGCTATAGCTGCAGAGGGCGGAAGAGCAAGCAGGGACGAGGGTGCCAGCAGCATCAGCAGCCACACCCTCCCCCGAAGGCGCTTTTTATTTTCGTGGTCTGGTGGTTGAGGGCGCCATGCTGGGTTACGAGCTATCGTGGGCTAAAGTAAAGCTAGCGACGTGTCAGTGCTTGCTGGCTCTCAACGTCAAACGACGTTCACCCTCGTTCGTGCTGCTTTCGGAGCGTGTACAGTAGCGTTTCCGGTTTTCGAGCTCCAGCGGTAGATTAGTGTACAGACCCGAGGCTTTTCGTGGCACCTCCTTCACAAGAAGAGTGCGCTGCTGATAGCCCAACGCTTGCAAAGCCTCGCGCAGCAAAAACCTGGCGAGTATTGTAGAGGATAACCGTTGTTGGTGGGAGGGACAGAAAAATATGGGGTATTTACGCCATACCGTACGCGAGCAATGGGCGAGTTGGCCCGATCCACAGACAGCTATCTGTCAGTACTTGCATTTGTTTCGGGATACGACGAGTATTGATACGCGCCCGCCCCCGGCGCCATTGAACCGAGGTGCTTACAAGCGGCATGTGAGACAGGCTATTGTTGCTGTTTTTGCGTGCCTTAGCCCCCTCCGGTCATCGTAGAAACGTTTGACTTCAACAACCGTCCGTACTCGATACGGTAATTGTGCGTGTTATCGCACCCCGTGTTAGCGTTTTCTACAGCGTATTTCTCCACAACCAGGGAGGCAATACCTCCGAAAAGGGTGGTTTTGGAAACATCTCGTCGAGGGCTTTCCGGAAAGGTATCGGTTGATGTTCGCACCCTCCTAGCTGTGGAGAAATACGCTGTAGAAAAACGCTAACACCGGGGTGCGATAACACACACAATTACGGGTACTTGTCTCCTTTATGATACGTAGAGCACCATTCACACAATTTGGACATTGCGTGAGCACCTCGTGAGACGCCTCATGACACCCCACGACAGACCCCTCATGACGCCATCAAGAGCAGCCAATAAGACTCGAGAGAATATGTACGGGTGTGGCTTGAGCGTGACGAGTTCATCAGGTTCCGCGAACGGGGACACCATACTTTTAGGACTGTTGTCGTTCCCGGACAGCTTATACATAGTATACTGTAGGGCTGCCTTAACAAAAACAAAAAAGAGTACCACGATAGCAAGACCAAGACCCACAAAACAGGGCACGGGTACAGTATTTTTTTTGTTCATGTGCGTTTTCTAGAAAAACAGGGAGGTACCTTGTGCTCACCGCAAGTGTTGCGCATCGATCGGCACTCACAATCGGAGGCACACGTTTTTGCGCCCGTCTATCTGTCATTCGTAAACGCCTATCGATATGCTTATTAGTAGAATCCAGTTCCCCGCCACCGATGCATAGCTAGTATACACCCCCCCCGCCCCCCCGACCGAACCTAAACAAAAAGCCTCTTGTCGCTGTTTCAAAAATATACGTTTTCTCCACGATAAGATAGCACCCAACTCAGTCCAGGAAAAGATGTTGGCCGGAGTCGCTGCGTGGCTTACGGCGATCATCGCCCAGCTCCGGATGAACGGCAACAACAACATCATGATGCTGCAGCAGCAGCAACAGCAGTCCCAGCCCGTTTCGGCGCTGCGGGGGGGGGACATGATGGGTAGCAGCCCCGGTCATCGTATCGACGGCCTCAATTAAGTGGGGGTTCGTCGGACACAAGGGCTCAAAAACACATGGTAGCCCCGCAGGGGCTGTGTCATCGCCGTATACATATATCGCCCGCACGTCAGAGCTTAGCAGTTAAGAACGTGAACGTCGAAACAACTAGAAGCTAGGAACTCGAGAAGAAACCATTTTGAGCCCGGTTAGAAACCGCTACTCTAAAACCTATATGGCGGCCATGTGGTAGCCCACAAGAACTAAGAACCGCAGCCTTGGCCGAAAGTAGAGGTTCTTGAGTGCGGGCGCTATGTGTGTATGCTGCTTACGCGGAGACGAACCGCAGAGATACCGGTAATTGGTGTCATCTTATGTGTACCCCGGCTATACGAATTTATTCATCGCAGGGGAGATACCGCTAAATGGAAAATATGCTCCTTTACGAGAGCCTACGGTAGAAATACCATACGGACAGCTTCGTGTCATCGTATATTCACCACACCATGCATCCATTGCAAGTCAATCCTAGTACATCTACCTGTCGTTTGGCCGCCCCCTCCCCTCTCATAATCTCCCCCCTCCTCCACCGGTGACCTCCCCCCCCCCCCCCTTCCCCCGGTTTCTACCCACGGAACTGGTCTGTCGTCTCAGGATAGCATCCCCTAGCGAGGCCCTCACCGTCATCGTCCCCGCTCCCCACCAGAACAAGAGTGAGTTGTTGTACGAAAAATCGTTAATTGTCTTAGAAAAATGCTAGTTTTGTCTTGATAAAAAAAACAGCCCCATACAAGACTAAGCATGTTCTATTGCGTCCTCCGGACTTGCGCCCTTAGAGCACACGCGGCTGGCTCCGAAACGACAGGACGCTTTCTGAGACGATTGACTGTCGTTATGGCAGTAGCCTGACCGCGAGTGGTTCGATCAGGGGGCATGCAAGAAGCTGTGTACGGTAACAAGAGAGGAAGTCTTACAATAGCCTTCCAAGCAGGCTGTTGACACTCGCTGAGAATAGCGGTCGTCGTGCACCTCTGCCCCAAAACCTACTTGCATCATAAATTTTTGTGATACTTTGTTGACGTAGCGCAATAAATCCATCTCTACTGGTTGTGTGCACAGGCAATGTGTTGGGCACTCGGGTAATCGTTTGCCATTTTTTTCCTTGTTCATGTGCGTATCGAGACTCGATTCCCGCCTCAGCGTCAACTCTTTCCCATGATTTGGGGTCAGCATGAGTTCGCCGTAGAGGTGTCGACCGCGCTAACCGGTTGACCAATGAAAAACGACGCCAGTCTCAGTCCGCGCTGGAAACACAAAACACTTCTAAATGCCAATAACTGTGTGCGTTGTGTGTGTTTTTTATTATTATTACGTAGCATCGACCGCGCTAACCGGCTGACCGCTGAAAAACGACGCAAGTCTCAGTCCGCGCTGAAAATATTTTTGCGCTTATTCGGTAGGCCAGTTAGAGGGCGCCAAGGGAGACAGGCTAGGTAGGCTATGTGTTCGTGTGTTTTGCGTTTTTGCGTATGTATGCATTTCCTCGTTTGCCAAATGTGCGTGTGCCTTGATTTCTGCTACAGCTGGAGATATGATCACCCCCTACCATAGAATCCCATAGCCCTTTTTCTCACACCTGTTGTTTTTTCTGGCCTATCTACCTTTTTTTTTTTGTCGTCGGCGCAGGGCTCTACGCCCCCGAACTCCTGAACGCCCGTGCCTCCGAGGACAACCAGGTGCGATACCCCGAAGCCGTAGGAGTCACGGATTCGTGGTCACCATGTAACGCCCGGACTTCATTGCGCATGTGCCCAGGATCTTCCGCTATTGTTCGTGTTGTTTTTCGTTAAAAAAAAAAAACGTCTCGCCGCAGACTTAACTCGGGGTTGCCCATGAGATAAGACTCACACAATAGAAAAACATTCCTTCGTTTACACGCGCATGATGGGCGGAAAACTTGCACATGCGCGCACAGCAGTAGTAGTGTCAGAGGATTTTTTTTTTCAAAAATGGCTCGCCGCAGCCGATCTATATCTTGGTTTCCATGATAGGCGACGGGGACTCGTTGCAAGTGCTCTTGTGTTTTCGTGAATTTGGGTGGCGACAGATCGAGACATGCTCCGTCAAATGCGTAGAGCAACGTATTTTTGCAAGCGTGGAGGATAAAACGCCAAACTGCGTAACGTAGACTTTTTTTTGTTGTCACATCTTGGTAGGAGACATTGTTATTAAGTTCGTGGAAAGAGATTTCTCGTCACCGTGGCCTAGATCTATGCCCAATCGCCCAACAAAGGGTGCAGGGAGCTTTGACAGCAAGCCCGTGCTGCTGTGTTTGAAACTTTCCCGCCATGTTTGTGGGTAGAGAGTAGGCGAGCTAGCCCACAGGTCGGAAGCAACGGTCAAGGGTTGCCACATCATTTTTCTCTTGGCGAGAGGAGTGCTCGTTTTCGTTGTGCCTTTTTTCTCTCTCTCCCCCTCTCTCTCACTCCGGCCCCTCTCACTCCCTCCCTTCTCTCAATATTTCTATCGCTCTATATTTCTATCTCTCTGTCTCTCTCTCCTTCTCCCCCGTTCGCTCTCTCTGTGTTTCCTCCCACTCAAGTCTTGGATGCCCCCCCCCCCCCCCCCCCGCCCGCCCCTTTTCCCTCTGAACTACCACACTGAGAGCAGGTAACCAACGCCGAGGATGTTGTCGCCGAGCACCCTCTCCCGGGATACATCGTGCCCGTCCAAGCCTCTGCGGACGATGCGGAACCTCTTACAACGGAGATCAAGGTGCTCGCGCGACTCTCTCTGTCCCACCCCGTGCTTTTTCGTATAGGAGAGTGCGTAGATCGACACCCACCCCTTTTTGTTTCGTAGGAGAATGCGCAGACTTGAAACCAAACATGTACTGGAGATGGGGGGGGGGGAGTTGATCACCCCGTGAAGGATCTTGTCAAATGAATCGGAATAGTACCGAGAAGGGAGTGTTCACTACCCCGCGCTATCCGGCTGACCAATGAAAATTCGTCAGTCTCGATGCGATTGAAAACAGACTATGTGTGTGTGTTTTCTCTTCGGGGTATAGCTACCATTTGTGGTGTCGACGATAGCGATGATGTTTTCACATGGGAGGCGTTTTCGAGGCTCCGGCGTGCCTTGTCGCGAGCAGGTGCTCGAGAGCACGACTATCACAGGCGTGGAATGATCTCTCTCTCTCTCCAAATACGGCAGAGAAAGGGCGTTTTTTGTGGGGGCAGTTGGTTTTGTGACCACGGAAGGCGTCCGCGTCAGTTGGACCACGGAAGGTGTCCGCGTCAGTTGGGCCAGTACATACCCACGTTAGAAAGTACTGAGCGGAGACCGGAACGGTTATTAATGTCAAGACAACAACAACAACTACTACTACAACTTACTAAGGTGGCAGTCGGTGCGTTGCTTCCTCCCGCACGGACGGTTTAGTTTAGTATCGATTCGTTGGTACTTACTTCTGCGTGGTGTGTGTGGGGTGAGGGCAATGGCAAGGGACGATACCCGCACACCGACAACATTACGATATCACCACCACCACCACCACCACCGCCACTCAAACGACGAAATTTTGGTGTTTGTTGTCTGCTGCACACGTGCATGTTCGTGTCTGGGTGCCGCTTCAGGTGGAGCAGCAGCAACAGCAGCAGCAGCAGCATCGGCCTGACTCGACGGAGGCCGTCAAGAACTTTTTCACCAAGACCTCCGCCGGCCGCGTGTTCTCCCGAGGGTTGTTGACCAAGGTAAGGGAGACACAACGAACGGCAACGAGTTCGCTTTTTCTCTCGCGTGTGTGCATGCAGCTTTTCGGCGGGAGGGGGGGGGGGTTGGCCAAGGGAAGGAAGGCACAACGGACGGCAAAGAACGCGTTGTTTTCTCTCGTGTGCGGGCAGCTTTTTCGGGGGGGTGTTGACCAAGGTAAGGACGGCACAACGAGCGACAAAGACATAGTTTATCGGGGGGGGGGAGGGAGTGCACCGCGAGGTTCCCGCGCATCCGCGCTCCTGGCATCGGCATGCGCATCGGTGTCGACAGGCGGCGCGAGTCGCAGTAGACGCATGCATGCACCCACCCCATTGGTTTGCTCCAAATGTTTTGCGGGGACGTTCACGGTGCGGTGCGGTGGACGGCTTAACCGCACCACGCCGGTTTTAACCGCACCGCTCCCCACCGTCACATTTCGAAGAAAACGGAACCGAACCGCACCATCCAATGTCGAGAAAACAAAGACTGCACCGCACGGCACGGCACCGTGGCCACGTAAAAAAAAAAAAAAAGCTCACCGCGGTGCGGTTGGTGAATAGTGAGTATGCATCCCTGAAGTTTTGTTCGGCTGAACTAATTCCCCGTGTCACCTCTTTGCTCTTGTGGCAATGAACAGGGCTTCGAAAAGCTGTATACCCACGCCGCGGACACCACCGCCTCCTTCGCCCTTGGCTATTTTAGGTGCGTTTTCGTGAAGAGCGGTGTATGTGAAAGGCGGGTCTGCATCGCGAAGGCGACTTCGTGTTGAGCAGGAACTAGTGTGTGCGCGTGTGCCTGGCTGTTGGTGTTGTAAGTGTCCTTGAGGTGTTGGGAGAGCTCGGGACCGTCCAAGAGTTGGCTTCTTGTTGTATGCCAAAACGCACGTGCTCTGTACCATGACGGTGTTGATCCCAAAACGCCCAGGGTTTTCATGAATGCAAGCAGCCAAGCCTGTTGAGGCGTGCAGACCCGTTGCTTGTTCCCCGGTTCGCTGATTATCTTCCCCCCTTAAAGTAGCAGTCAGCACCGAGGTGGAGGAGGACGAGTTGTGCAGTGACAGGTACGAACGCGACGAACAATGTGTCGATCAACAGCTGGTTACCGTTTCTTCCTGCACTCTGGCGACGCCTTTTGTCTTATCTATCTCCGTCCGCTCTCAGCGGAGGTCTCAGAAAATGTGTCTTTCAAGTGCAATGCCGTTCGTCCTTGCTGCACTCCGGCGGCGGCGCCTTTTGCCACCCCCGTCCGTAAATGGTACCCTCAAACAACAAACGTGTCAATCAAGTGCTACGCCGTACACCGTTTCTTGCTGCACTCGGGCCCCGCCTTTTTGCTGTCTCCGTTCATCCGTCCGTATTGACACCGTCCAAAACACCTCAGCTATCATTAATCTGCTGTCATCGTTTCTCGCTGCACTCGCTCGCCGCCTTTCGTCGCCTCCGTCGCCACGGCAGCAGCCTCCGCTTCGGCGGCAACACGCCCGCGCTGCTGGCGACTCTGGTGACGGCGGCGGGGACGCTCTCGGTTGCTTCTGCCGCGACGACAAGCTGCTTGTCGGCAGGGACGACGGTCGCCGACATCGGCTCAAGTAAGGGTCTCTTCCCGCGTTCATGGTCCATTGTACAGGAGGGGGCCGATGTTGAGGACGCGTACAGTAGTGCCGTGGGGTGGTATTGTGCCGGTTTGCCGTGTATAATGCCGGTGAAATCGTCTGGGCACACATGGCATATGTAAAATTGTCTCAATACTCTTGAATACTGCCGGTTGCCCGCTATGTTGCTGGTGAAATCGGCTGGCACAGATGGATGGAATGTGGAAGTTATTTCATTCTCTTCAGCAATGCCGGTTCAAGAGGCTGGCACCTAACGTACGGCATTATAGCTGCACCACTACTGTGTGAGACAACGTGAATATTCCATCTGTGCCGAGCGATTGCACCGGCCTTTATTTCGGACAACCGGCGTTATACAGGGCCCCGTGCTACCGCACATAACGCGGTGCCGCTGGAAGGGAGCGCCGTATCGACACGTTGGTACTGCAGTTGTGAAAAACGAGTATGGCGAGTGTCCAAACTAGCGACCCCCCCCCCCCCCCCCCCCCCCTTTCCCCCCCTACCCAGCGGGGCCCTTTCAAACCACATCCTGAAACCCGTCCAAAAAAAAAT